TCCGTCCGTCCATTCATCCATTCATCTGCCCGTCTGTCTGCCTGCCTGCCTGCCCGCCGGACAAAGCCTAGAGCCCGCGCTGGAGCCATGTCCTCGTCCGCTGGCAGCGGCCACCAACCCAGCCAGAGCCGCGCCATCCCTACCCGCACCGTGGCCATCAGCGACGCCGCGCAGCTACCTCATGACTATTGCACCACGCCCGGGGGGACGCTGTTCTCCACCACGCCCGGAGGTGAGCGCCCGCCGGGCCGGCCCGCGACGCTTCCTCGGGGACTTGGCGGCCCTCGGCGCCCCATCCCCCGCCGCCGCTGCTGCCGCCTCGGGCGGGTCCGCTGCACCCCGCTTCCCCTCCGTCCTGCGGTCGTGTACGCGTGTGCACTGGTGCTTGGGTGTAGAGCGTCTGTCGGGCCTTCTTACTCTTAGAACGCGAGTTGGAGCGGGGAAAGAGCCCTGCGGCCGTGGGTTGACATGTTTGCAACCATAGAACGTCCGGAAGAGGGCGGGATGCCTCGCGCGGCGTTGTCCTGCTTTGACAGCATTGTTTACTCGGCTGGAGGAGGCCCCGAGAGTGCTCGCGCCGGAGGGGAGGGCTGGGGTGCTGGCGCGCCGAGGGGAACGTTTCGGTGGAGCGAGTCGCGCGGGAGCTTGTGGAGCGGGATGCTTGATCCCGGGGAAGGGGCTGGTAGGGACAGGGAGTGCAGAGGGAGCGTCCTGGGCGTTGCTTTTGAGAGGCCGACCGGGAACTGTTTACGGGCTGCACTGGGGTAGAGGTGAAACGTGTTGTGTTGGTGTCTGGTAAAGGGAGCTCAAAGGTTGTCCGTCGCTAGGCCGGGCTTTTCTCCAGAGGCGATCTGGAGGGCCTTACAGACCGGAACGAGGTTTGCTTTTTAACTTTAGAACTTTGCCTTCTTTGGGTGACTGAGCAGACAGCTTCTTAATAGAGGGTGGGGACTTCTCTGGCAAACTGCAATCTAAAGATTCCTGGCCGCTTTCCAGAGGGCAGGGCTTCTCAGTTGTACTACAACCAATCCCTTGCAGTTAGGCCTGGGCCAGCCCGGGATCTGTTGCACAATAGCTAGGCCTGTAGAATAAGGAGCAGTCCCTGCCAACAGTGAGGGATAAAAATCAGGGAGTGCTTGACAGGATCCAGCCATAGGCCTCTAGGGGAAAGGTGGCTGCCTTGTGAGACTAGAACAGCCCAAGCCGGTGAAGTTCGTTCTACGTATGAAGAGCCAGGGTCAAGGAGGTGGGGACAAACAACTCCACTACGGAACAGCGGAGTTCCTAGCCAGAGGTTCGTTTTTTGAAGAAACCCACCTCCCATATGGCCTGTTCCAGACTAGCTCCTGTATTGGAGTTTGTTTGTTTTAATCAAGTTTATTGGTACACTTTGGGTATACATAATGATCACATAAATTCATCACAGTAAATTTGTACCTGTGTATGATATAATTTGATTCTTTTTTCCCCATGTCCCTACCCTACCTTTAACCCCTCTTCCCCTCCTTTTTTTTTTTTTTTTTTTTTGAGACAGGGTCTCAAGTGGGACTTGTGCTCACAGGTCTTGTGCTCACTTTTGTAGCCTTCAGGCTGGTCTTGAACTCGCAGAGAACCTCCTGGCTCAGCCTCCCAAGTGTTGGGATTACGAATTGGACCACCACACCCCGTTTTCCCCTCCTATTTATTTACAAAAGCTTGTTTCCACTTTTTTCCTTCTTTTCTCATTTCTTCTTTCCCCGTCTTTGCTTTTCCCCTCCCGGCCTTAGTTCCCCTTCCCTTTTGAACGTTTTCTTCCTATTTTACAATACTCATTACACATTTTGGTTCTTGCTTACACTTTCAGTTTCATATCAGAGAAACAGTTTGGTATATACACATGTATGCCCAATTTCTTTCACTGAAGATTATGGTCTCAAGGTGCATCCATTTAGCTAGAAATGTCTCAAGCTTATCCTTTTTATGGCAGAATAGTACTCCACTGTATAAAAAAATCTTTATTCATTGATTGATGGGCTTTTGGGTTGTTTCCAAGATGTAGCTATTACAAATTGTGCCACTGTAAACATGTTTGCGCATATATTGCTATGGAATGGTGCTTTTAATTCATTCAGGAAGATACCAAGAAGGGGAGTGGCTACATCGAATTGAACTTCCAGTCCTGGTTTTTTGAGGAATCTCCACACTGATTTCCACAGTGGTTGCACCAATGATAGCATGCTTTAAAATTTTGAGAAAATTTGACAAGAATCTGCCTCAGAGTTAACTTGAATTAGTAATATTTATTTAATGTATTTAGGACAGGGTTTACAGGGTCTCACTACTTAGATTGGATTTCGAGTGATTCTCCTGTTTTCAGCTTCCTAAGTGCTGGGATTACAGGTGCGCACCACTACACCCAGTCTGAATCGCTGTCTCAGAAGGGTCTGGGGCCCAGGGTGAGGGGCACAGCACCCACTGATCAAACCCCAGCCGCTGCACTCTGCCTAAGCAAGCATTTTAATTCACTGAGCTATCTGGTCGGCCCAGTACGTTTTATTTTTTAAAAAATTTAGTTGTTACAGGGTCTCACTACATAGTTCAGGCACGTAGTGATCTTCCTGTCTCAGCCTCCCCAGTGCTATTATTGAACTCGGGTCCTCACACTAGCCAGGCAAGAGCTTAGACCACTGAGCTATCTCCCCAGCCCCAAACTAGTAGCTTTTTAAGAATTGGATAGTATTTTTAAGGTGATGGAAAGGGATTTACAACTTATTCCAGAAGTCTCTGAGGTGTGATCATTAAGTCCTGTGCTTCTAGCAGTTTGGAACACATGTCACTGATACTACAGCATTAAATTTATTTGGGGAAAAAGGTAAGAGAATTTAGCTATGTGTTAATCTTATTCCCTGGAAAAGAGCCACAAAGGGAAACTTTTGGCATATTTCAAACAGTAGACTTTCATGCTTTTAAAATAAGGATATAGCCTTTAAACACTGCTTTAAAGCTAAAAGCCTATGTTGTAGTCTGGATTTTTTTTTTTTTTTTTAATTTTATTTGTGTGTGTGTGTGTGGCCAGCTCAGCCCACCAGGGGGCAGGGCTGGCTGGCATGTGGTGCTGGGGGATTGAACTGCGGTCCCTGTGCTTTGCTAAGCTTGTTCTAAGTAGGTGCTTTAGACCACTGAGCCATCTCACCAGCCCTGGATTTTTTTTTTTTATTATTATTATTTTATTTTATTTTTGGATTTATTTTTAAAATGCTTGGGGAGATTTTGCCAAAAACTTACTCATTTAACCTTCCATCACACAATTGATCAAAATGTTCCTTGACGTGCCCACATATAACTGATAGATTTTTTTTTTTTTAAGATGTTCATATATGTAAGTGCTTTAATCCTAGCACTTGGGAGACTAAGGCAGAAGGATAATGTTGCAAGTTCATGACCAGCCTGGTGGGGCCAGGGATACAGCTCAGTAGAATAAACGCTTAAGGGCCTGCGTTCATTCCCCAGTTCCACAAAAAAAAAAAAAAAAAAAAAAAAAAAAAAAAGGCCACCCTGGGCTACAAAGCAAGCTCAACAAAACAAAAAACAGAAAAAAACTACATATCTATGGGGGCTGGGGAGATAGCTCAGTACAATAAGCGCCTGCCTGGCAAGCACAAGGTCCTGAGTTCAATCCCCTGTACTGCAAAAACAAAACAAAAAAACAGAAAAAAAAAAAAAAAAAGCAAGATCAAGGCCAGTCTGAACTGCATAGGGAGACCCTGTCTCAAAAAGACAGGAGAAAAAAAAAAAGTATTTGTCTTATCTATAACCTTTACCCTGTGTTTATTTATTTTTATGTATTTTAGTACAGGGTCTCACTATACACATCATACTCCTAGTGATCCTTCTGTTTTCTCCCAAGCCATGGGATTACAGGTGTGTGCCACCACACCTGGTCTCAGTCACTACCTCTGTGTGCCCCAGGGTGGGGCAGGCACCGACCCCCGGGATGCCTTACCAGGCGCTTTAGTCCACTGAACTGTCTGGCTGGCTCTTACCCTGTATTTATTATAGGCCCCCCTCCTTTTTTTCTTTTTTGAGATCTCACCGTGCAGTGTATTTGGGGTGATTCTCCTGCCTCAGCCTTCTGGGTGCTGGGATTGCAAAGTGTGGACCACCGTGCCCCTGGCTATCCTGTGTGTATTGGTAGACCTTGTAATGATCTTTGGAGTTTTTGTTTTTTGTTTTTGAGACATAGCTATGATGTCTACATAGATCTCACTATGTACTTTTTTCTTTTGGTTTTTTGAGTTACTGTGTTGCTGTATGCTTCAGGCTGCCCCTCCTCTAAACTCACTGTAGCCCAGGCAGGCCTTGAACTTTTGGCAATCCTGAGTGCTGGGATTGTAGGCATGTGCCACCATGCCTGGCTCACTATGTAATGTAAGCTGGTCTTGAACTTACTATGTAGCTCAAGCTGGCCTTGAACTTGGAAACCTCTGCCTTAGCTTCCCTAGTATTAGGTTTACAGATTTGGGATTATAGACTTGCCACCACACCTGGCTTGATCTTTGATTTTTTTTTTTAACCTTTGAATTTTTAACACAAGGGCTTAATGTTTCTAAGAATATAGCAATGTTGCACTTATTTAAGTACTATATTTATTCACTGTCCTGTCCTCTGGAAATTTTCTGCTCGCTGAAGCTTTGCTTCGTCGTACATCTTCCTCTTCCTCACCATGTAAAGTTATTTTCAGAGCTGGAGTTGCTATTTGATCCTCTCCAGGTATCTGATGGATGTAGTTATGTATCTGTAGTGAGGTTTTTGTTTTGTTTTGTTTTGTTAATGTGTTTAGTACAGGGTCTCACTACACAGATTGGACTGGTAGGGAGCCTCCTGTTTTCAGCCTTTCAAGCACTTGGATTACAGGTGCACACCACCACCCCTATCTTAGTCGCCATCTCAGTGTACCCCAGGGATTGAACCCCAGTCCCTGCATCTGCCTAGCAGGCGCTTTAATCCACTAAGCTATCTGGCAGCCCCCGTAGTGAGTTTTGTAGGTCCAGTGCAGTTCTTTGTACAAAATAGGACACCAGACAAAAGTAGGAAATGCTCTGAATGGACTCGAAATCATGATTTGGAGGAATGGGGAGGTGCAAATAAGATGGTTTCTGGATCTGTACAGAGTTAAGTGCTGATTGATTGATTGATTGATTTTGGTGGAACTGGGGATTGAAGTTGCCAGGGAAGTGCTTATTCTACTGAGCC